GCTATAGGGTGCATGCACTCACCAGAAAGACAGAGAGAGACAGAGAGACAGAAAGCGAGAAATCACCTCCTGCGGGGGTGGGGGGGATGGCCACCCCGCAATCCCTTTTCCTCCATTCTCCTCTTGGGATCTTGGGCACGCACGCACATGTGCCTGGTGTGAGTTTAAGTCATCAGGTCTGGGATTTGAACTGCAGTCGACTACAAGGGAGTCCAGTGACATAGACATTATACCAACCGCTGGTCCTATTATTTTTAACTGCCAGAAGGGATATGCAGAGAGAGAGAGAGAGAGAAAAGGAGAGGATGAAAGCACCCCCTCCAATGGGACATGGGCCACTCCATAATCCTTTCTCCTCCATTTCTCCATCCTGTTGGAATGTGGGCACATATATGCACCTAGTATATTTTCTAAGCCACCAGGACCAAGATTTGAACTATGCTGACTGTGGGATCTACGTCCCTATGTATTGTGCTTAACTACTGTGTTACAGGCCAGCTTCTCCTTCCTTTTAAGATTTTTCCCTGTGTCTTTAGTTTTTTTATGTTTAATTATGATGTCCTTAGGAATAGATTTCTTCGGATTTATCCAGTTCAGGATTTACTCAGATTCTTGAAAATACAGGTGTGTATCTTGTGCCAAATTTAGTCAAGTTTCAGCCACTGATTCTTCACTTACTCTCTCAGTTTGGCCTTCTTTCTCCTCTCCTTCCTGTCCTCTAAGGACACAAACCTTAGGTGTTTTGTTGCAGTCCTGCAGGTACCTGGGACTCTGTTCCTTTTCCTCCCCCCGTGTACTTTCCCTCTGTTTTTCAGATGGGTTGACTAATACTGGTCTGTCTTCACGTTCACTGACCCTCTCCTCTGTCCTTTCCAAACTGCTCTTGAGCCACCCAGTGTGTGTTTTGTTTCAGTTATTGTGTTTTTCAGCTCTAAAACGTACATCTGGTTCTTCTATTTCTCTTCTGAGGTGTTCTTTTGTGTTTACTTGTTTTAAGGAGGATTACAATTGTTCACATAAGCATTTTTACGATGGCTATTTAAAAATCCTGGTCAGGGACCAGCAGTTGGCGTAATGGCTCTGTCACTGGACTCCCATGTAGTTGACCGTGATTCGCGTCCTGGACCCGGTGGCTTAAATCTCACGCCAGGCGCGTGTGTGTGCGTGCCCAAGATCCCGAGAGGAGAATGGAGGAGAAGGGATTGCGGCATGGCCATCCCCCCCTGGGGGGTGATTTCTCACTGTCTCTCTGTCTCTCTCTGTCTTTCTGGTGAGTGCACGCGCCCTATTGCAAAAACCTCTCCAAAAAAAGAAAAGATACAAAAATCCTGGTCAGATAACCGGGACATCGGTGTCATTTCAGTGTTGACATCTGTTGATTATCTTTCGCATTTCTCTTGAAATTTTCCTGGCTCTTGGTAGGATGAATGATGTCAATGGAATCCTAGACATTTTGATACTGAGGAGAGGACACTCCTCGGGGTCTTACTGGAACCCGTGTGAGCAGGCTACCTCCTGATGGCCTGTCCAGGGTGAGAGTCTGAGCGCTTCACTGGGCTACTGCTGACAGGGGTGAGGGTGGGCTGCAGTTTTTACTAAGGTGTTCAGCTGAAACATGTCCTATGGCAAAAAAAAAAAAAACCCAAACAAACAAACAAACAAAAAAACAAACACACAAAAAAACAAAAAACCTTAAAAAAAAAAAAAAAGAAAAGAAAAGAAAGAAAAAGACAGTCAGGAGTCAGACTGAAATGGCAATGTGACTGCACATTGGGAGGGTCCAGGTGGGTGTCCCAAGGCTTCCCTCTGAACTCCAGGTCCATGCACAAGTCCATGATCCAGGCTGGCTGAGACAGGTGAATCGTGGCATGGAAACCCTGTTGGGTGCCTCTTTCTCTCTTTTTCTCTCTCATGGGATAAACAAATAAATAAACTTTAAAAAAGACATTGGAAAACGGTAAAAGAATAACCTAAAACTTTATTAATCAAATCTACAGCATTAAAATATGTTGTAATGGTGCTGAAAACAGATGAGGGGAGGGACCAGCAGTTGGCGTAATGGCTATGTCGCTGGACTCCTATGTAGCTGACCACGGTTCGAGTCCCGGACCCGGTGGCTTAAACTCATGCCGGGTGCGTGTGTGTGTGCCCAAGATCCTGAGAGGAGACTGGAGGAGAAGGGATTACGGCATGGCCATCCCCCATGGGGGGTGATTTCTTGCCTTCTGTCTCTCTGTCTCTCTCTGTCTTTCTGGCAAGCACATGCGCCCTATAGCGAAAACCTCTCCAAAAGAAGAAAAAAAAAAGAGAGAGAGAACAGACGAGGGGAGGGAAGAGAAGGAAAAAGAGAAGGAGCCAGGCCCCAGGATCATGGAGAAAAAGGAGGAGGTTAGGGAAGTAGAGAGAAACTCTGCTTTTCATTTTTAAATGAAAAAAAAAAGGCTTATTTTAAAATTTTTCCAGAGGGTGTATGCACTTTCCAAAGAGAGAGAGAGAAACAGAGAGAGGGAGGGAGAGAAAGAAAGCATTGCCCAATGGGGCATGGTCATGCCACAATCCCTTCTCCTCCATTTCTTTATTATTATTTTCTTTTAAAGAGATTTTTGCCATAGGGTGCGTGTGCGCACCGGAGAGTCAGAGAGAGATAGAGAGACAGAAAGAAGAACCCCTCCTGAGGAGGGATGGCCATGCTGAAATCCCTTCTCCTTTGTTCTCCTCTTGGATTTTGGACATGCAGAACCCAGTGTGAGTTTTGTGCTGCCAGGTCGAGGACCTGAGCTGCGGTTGACTACGGTGGGAGCCCCGTGATCTAACCATTACGCCATCTGCTGACCCCTCCTCGATTTCTTTATGCTGTTAGGATTGGGGCGTGCATACATATGGTTGGTGCATTTTTTTAGCCTCTGGAGCCAGGATTTGAACATTGCAGTCCACCATATGGGCTCCAGCTCCCCTAACCACCACAGAGCTGACCAGAGAGCCTCTTTGTGAGTGCAATTCTAGCACCAGGCCTGAAAGCCCATGAGACAGGCTGTGAACCACCACTGACAACTTTTCCAGTTGCTTTTCCCTCAAACACAAGCAGCTCTGAATTGTGCAGAGGTTCTCAACTGGGACACCTTGTTCTCCATTGCTGCTTTGAGGCCTGTTGGGGGCCAGGCCACATAGTGGCTGGCAGGGGGGATGCCAGGAAATGGCAGTGGTGGTGTTACTGGATTCTCGTGGGAGTGCGAACCTATTGTGCGATTGTTTCATTGTAGATTGCAACGTGGTAGTGGTAGAAATGGACACACAGTGAGTGTGGTATGCTCGGTCATCCCAGGTCCATCCCTGCAACCATCTGTGGAGATATAGTCTTCCATGAGGTCAGTCCCTGCTGCCAGGAAGCTTGGGGATTGCTCCACTAGATGGCCAAGGATGTTGCTAAACATGTATAATGCATCCAGCAGCCCTCTGCAGGGAAGAATGATTCAGCATAAAATGTGAACACCGCCACAGCTGAGAACTCCTGGAATGGCGTGGCACAATCTGAGCGCTGCCCACCTGGACAGTAACTGACAGTGTCCAAAGGAAGGATGTCCATTCGCTGACTGGAGTTGGCATCCCCTCCCAGTCCTCTTCGCTGTAGGAAGGTCCTCCCAGAGTGAAGCGCTGACACACACACACACCCTCCGTCTGTGTTTCAGGGCGCATTCCAATGCAATCTCGAACTGCTGTTTCACCTTCAGTGGCCATTTCCTGTGTACGAGTTCCTGGGATAAAAACTTAAAAATCTGGAACGTCCATACAGGGGAGTTTCGAAACCACGGAGCCTGTGTGACTCTGATGCAGGGTCACGAAGGTTGTGTGAGCTGCTGCTCCTTTGCCAGAGACAGTGAGTAGTGAACACCCGGAAGGTCTCTGCTCTGTGGGAGTGCTGGGTGGAGTTCCTCAGGTTCCTTTCACGCGGACTTCAAGCCTAAGGACAGGCAGGCAGTTTCCAATGATGCTGACGGTAAGGGCGAACCTTCCCCTGTGAGAACAAAGAGAGAGAAATTCATAGGCTCGAGTTTACAGGTGGCAGACACTCGGTTCAACATGGCTGAAGCAACACTAGAGCATTTTTCAATTCCCATAAAGGGAAAGTCCAGGATCAGGCCTGGCTGGGGCCAAAGACCCAAACAATATTATCAGAACCCAACTCTTCCACTCTGTCTCTCAGCTCAGCTTCCCTCTGGTATTGGCTTTTCCCCTCCAGGAGGCAAACATGGCCTCTTTTTTTTTGTCTGGGCCAGCATACTTCTGGTTGCTAGCAATCCCGGAGGAAGAGAGACCCTCTGTCTGATGGAGCAAGCCTAAGTCCCAGGGAAGACTCCCATTGGCTCAGCTTTGGACACATGCCCATCTCTGAACCAATCACTTAGCAGGAGATAAAAGGCACTGATTGGCCAGGTCTGGGTGACTTACCTACCCCCTAGAGGCTGAGATCAGTACCCTCTGAAGCGGATGAAGGGCGCTGATAGGAAGAAGGGCAATGGTAGGAAGTTGCCCCAGGCAGCTGACTTGGGTGAAAGAAGTGGCTGCTCTAGATACCCAGGCACCAAATGCATACTTCCCCTTCCTGGGTGGGGTGGGGACTCTTGCTCTGGATGTCAGGAGTGGGGTGAGGTGGAGCTTAGGGACAGCCAATACACACATAGTCAGCATCTGACTTGAGAAATACTAAGGCTTTTCTGAACAACATTTCCTCTGCAGAAGCAATCCATGTTTCCGACTCCCACTAGGAGGCATCTCGCCTGCTTCTAGGCTTTATTGGGTTCAGAACCGCATACACATTATCATTATTATCCGGCTTCTGTATTTGTGGATTTGCCTACTCACTAAAATGTATTTGTATCCCTAAAATCAATACTTCAGATACTTTTGAGGGCCAACTGATGGTGTACCAGTTACGTGGCTGGGTTCCCACCTGGCTGACTGTGGTTCAAGTCCCAGACCTGATGGCTTGAAAATCATGCAGGCACCTGTGCACGCATGCCTAAGATTCTGGGATGAGAATGAAGGAGAAGGGATTGCAGCATGGTTATCTCCACCGAGGGGTGCTTTCTCACTTTCCCGCTCACTCTTTGTTTCTCTCTCTGGTGAGCGCACGCATCCTAAGGAAAAACCTCAACAGCAAAACACTTGCGTTATCACTCTGCCAGGAGCAGAGCAGTGAGAAAATCGAGTCATCCTATGCAGACTTGGGCAGAGGTAGGTGACACTCTGCTTTCTTGTCTCGGCTTTCACGTGGTAAGGTGTCCTTTCTGTGGTCTATTTTTTATTTTTTTATTATTATTATTTTTTTGCTATAGGGCGCATGCGCTCGCCAGACAGACAGAGAGAGACAGAGAGACAGAAAGCAAGAAATCACTCCCCAGGGGGGGATGGTCACGCCGCAATCCCTTCTCCTCCATTCTCCTCTCGGGATCTTGGGCATGCACGCACACGCGCCTGGTGTCAGTTTTAAGCCACCGGGCCCGGGACGCGAACCGCGGTCCATTAGGCTAACTGCTGGTTCCCGTTCTGTGGTCTATTTAGTGCCGCTTCCCCTCCTCATTTCTGTGCTTTGTCTTGGTGATTTTGCTGTTTAAAATAACTCCCCTGGGCAGTGCTGAAGTGCTGTCCACGTTCCACAGCACAAGAAGGCTGCAACGAGGGACCGGCAGTTGGTGTAACGGCTATGTCGCTGGACTCCCATGTAGTTGACCGTGGTTCAAATCCTGGACCCGGTGGCTTAAACTCACGCCAGGCGTGTGTGCGTGCGTGCCCAAGATCCCGGGAGAAGAATGGAGGAGAAGGGATTGCGGCGTGACCATCCCCCCCTGGGGAGTGATTTCTTGCTTTCTGTCTCTCTGTCTCTGTCTTTCTGGCGAGCGCATGTGCCCTATAGCAAAAACCTCTCCAAAAAAAGAAGGCTGCGATGAGCCTTACGGAGAAAACACGTGTCGAAGGAGCTTTGTTCAGGCAGGAGCTACAGAGCTGCTGGTTGAGTTCAGTGTTAATGAATCAATGATATAGATGAAATAAAGTGCCTTTAAACAAAAACACACATAAAAACAAGGCTACGTATTGATGAGTGTGAAAGCTTCTGGCCAGCGGCTTGCAGGGACCCAGCCCTATATTTCTCTGGGAGCAGCGGTTCGGTACTGGCTAATTCAGTGTTGGCAGGGCTTTGGAGAACCTCCCTACTGTGAATAGCAAGGACCCCTGCTGGTTGGGGGTCACTGGGCCACACCAGGAAGGGGTTTCATTGTCAGAGGAAACCGTGGCGACTCCTCACAAATGCGTCCTCGGTCTGACTTGGCCTCACTTGGCTGGAGAACATGATTTGTCCCAGACGCTTTCATTTTGTGTTGCAGGTTCTTTTCTCATTTCTGGAGGGTTCGACAGGACGGTGGCTATTTGGGATGTAGGAGAAGGCTACCGGAAGCTCTCCTTGAAGGTACAGGTGTCAGCATTAGATAGAGGGTCTGAGTGTCATTTCTTAGGGGGTCCCGCTGGATCCTGGAGGGATGGCAGCAGAGAGACAGCCCCAGGGGGCTCCTCACAGAACTGACACCCCTGTGAGAAAGGACAGGCAGAAAACCAGCAAACAAATCACCACCAGCGATGAGCGACATGGAAAAGCACAACAGGGAGAAGTGATGAAGCAGACCCCAGGGCCTAATTTGCAGTCGGTGGTCAGGGAGAACTTCTTGGAAAAAGAGGCATTTGAGCCAAGAACTGGGTGGCAAGGAGGGACTGGATAAGTGAGGATCTTGAGGAAGGGTATTCCAGGCAGATGGAACAGCAAATGGAAGGCCGTAGGGTGGGGAAGTATGTAAGAACAGCAGACATGACCATGCAGAGAGATGAACACCATCATGAGGCATGCACAGAGAGCCCTGGGACTCGAAAATCCGCTGAGTAATCACTGGCTGCCAGTTAGAGGAGACCCAACTCCAGATGGCTCTGTAATTAGGGGATGGATTATCCAACACAGCAAGAATCGGGGTGGGCTCATTCTGCACCCCTGTTCCAGGTGCCCTATACTCCAGGATCTCCGCAAACCCCCTGGCCTGGTGAGCTCATGGCCACTTTAGCTGTGAACGTTCATATCCATGACTCGCAGTCTCTTTGCCCTCGCCCAGGGCTCAAAAGTGGGCTGTGTCTGTGGGAACCGTCTTCTCCTAGGCGTTGGGGAAGCAAAGGGAGTTTGCATCACAGACAATAAACACTTGGAAACTGAACATCAAACCTCCTGTGCTCAAAGGTCTCTTTGTCAGGACCAGCAGATGGCATAATGGTTATGTCACTGGGCTCCCACATGGCCGACTGTGGTTCGAGTCCTAGACCCAGTGGCTTAAAACTCACGCCAGGTGCATGCGCATGTATGCCAAAACCCTGAGAGAAGAGTGGAGGAGAAGGGATTGTGGTGTGGCCATATCCCTTGGGGGTGTGTGTGTGTGATTTCTCACTTTCTGTCTCTGTCTCTCTGGCAAGTGCGCATATCCTATTGTAAAGAAATAAAATCCCTCTACCAAAAATAAGTCCCTTTGTCCTCCCCATCAGGTCATTCTGATCTTCTCTTCTCTCTCTTCTCTCTCTGTTCTTTCACCCTTAGATTCTTCATGGAGTTTTTGTTTTTCATAGGGTGTGTGAGGGAAAGTGAGAAATCAATCCCTGGGGGGATGGTGGCCATGCTGCAATCCTTTCTCCTCCAGTCTGCTCTCAAGATTTGGGGGATACACACACACACGAGCCTGGTGTGATTTTCAAGCTATTGGGACTGGGACTCAAACCGCAGTTGGCCATGTGGAAATCCAGCACCTTAACCGCTACCCTACCTGCCAGTCCCTGTACACAGAGGTCTGACGCTCTCTCTTGTCCCCATTCCCCCTACCATACCGTGTTGTCTCATTGTCCACCTCTTTCCATAAGAGAAAGGCACTCTGTTGCAGAACCCTGAGCCACTCACCTCATCAGCAAGCGTCTAAACCAACAAGGCATCTGAGCTCCTTGTTGCCTGAGGAAAACATCTCCTTCTTCCCCCACCATGATTTGCTTAAGCCACAGTGAATGAGTTTGCAGTTATTTGAAGCCAAAATCCCCTTCACTGATAGGCCTTCTGTATGATATTTTCTAGAACAAAGAATGGAAAAAAAAAACCAAACAACACCAGAGCTTAGGGGCCAGCAGATGGCATGGAGGTTAATGTGGCTGGATCCCACATGGCCGACTGCGCAGTTTGAGCGCTGTATCTAGTGGCTTGAAAATCACATCAGGCACATGTATGTATGCCCAAAGTCCTGAGAAGAAAATGGAGGAGAAGGCATTGCAGTGTGACCGTCTCTCCTTTCTCTTTCTCTCTCCCTGGTGAGGGCATGAGGCCTATAGCAAAACTAGGAAGGGGAAAAAAACCTGAGCCCAGTTGAGAATTCAGTAACTTTTTTCCCATCCTGTTAAACACCACAGTATTATTATTATTTTTTTTTAGGTTTTTGCCCTAGGGTGCACATGCTCACCTAAGAGAGACAGAAACAGAGAGAGGGAAAGTGAGAAATCATCCCCCAGGGGGAACAGCCACACCACAATCCCTTCTTCCTTCTCCACTTGGGATTTTGGGCACAAACACACATGCACCTGGCGTAATTCTCAAGCCACCAGGTCCAGGACTCACACTGCAATCAGCCATGTGGGAATTCAGTGCCTTAACCACCATACCACCTACTGCCCCTACAGTATTATTGTATTTTTAAGATTTATTTAATGTATTATTATTATATTTTTAATTTGCTATAGGGCATGTGTGCTCACCAAAGACAGAGAAAGGTTGAGAGAGAAAGAGAGAATGAGAAACCAAGCCACCAGGTCTGGGACTCAAACTATGGGGAGCCATGTGGGAGTCCAGCGCTTTAACCAACTTGTCACCTCCTGGCTGCCACCATGGTATTATTATTATTACTATCTATTTATTTATATTTTTCTTTATTATTTTACAATTTCATTTATTTTTTATTTTAAATTTTTAGTTTTTAACTAATTAATTAATTAACATTCATTCACTGAGCCTCATCACAGCATATAAAATGTGATTTCCCATCCAGAATATATGACATAGTGGCTTAATCATACATGTTATTGTCAATAATGTTCCATTTCTAATTTTATATATATACGTATGTATATACATACATATATATATATTTCCCCCTATTTCTCACCCTCTACCATTTCCCACCCTCCTCCCACACTATCTCAGGTGTCTACAGTTGTTTTCTATTTTTTTCTCCACATTTTATTGATTCACAAAATTTCTTAAATAATCTAACTACTTTCAATAGCAAGTTCAGCTGATATATACATATCTGTGAACACATGTCTGACTTTAAGTGTGAAACTCTGAGTAGAATGAATATACTCTAAGGTAGCACCTAGCTGATGCCATATAGCCTACTATGGTCATTAAATAGGTATTTTTAACATATTTTTTAACTTCAAGAAAAGTAGTTTTAGCTTTAATAAATCAAATAAATGCTAAGAAACTTTGCTTAAAGCTTAAAGCTAGGAAACAGGTTAGGATTCTGTTCAAATAGTAGGTACATAAACCTATTGGCAGCTTAAGACAGGACAAAAATCCTTAAAACCAGAAAACAAAGCCTAGAAGAAAATCAGCAATGTTTTAGTCAAAAGTTATAAAATTCTGTTTCACTAGTTCAGTCTCATGTACTTAATCTATCTTCTATTGTGGTTCGATCTCCCAATTAAATTTGGGATCTAATATTTAACTCCAGACTTGTCCCTAGGATTAAGTTGGCCATTTTCTTAGTTTTTGAACTTTTATTTCTGTGTGTCTGTATTTAATTTTCCTAATATAGCACTCCCTTGAGAACTTCTAGGAGAGCTGGTCTGGTGTTGGTAAATTCTTTCAGGTTTTGTTTATCTGAGAATGTTCTTGTCTTTTCTTCCCATATGAAGGATAATCTTGCTGGGTAGAGTATTCTTGGTTGAAACTGCTTTTCCCTTAACACTTTGTATGTATTTTCCCATTCTTTCCTCACTCACAGTTTCCGAAGAGAGGTCTGCTGTTAACGCGATGGGATATCCTTTGTAGGTAACTTGATGTTTCTCTTTTGCCAATCTTAGTATCCTGTCTTTGTCTGTGGTTTGGTCAATCTGGCTATAATGTGTCTTGGAGAAGATCTTCTTGGGTTGATTCTATTTGCGGTCCTTTGTATTTCTTGGGACTGAATCTTTAAATGCCTCTCTAGGTTTGGAAAATTTTCTTCCAGGATTTCATTGAATAGATTATCAATGCCCTTATGGGTCTCTTCACCTTCTGGGATGCCAGTTATCCAGATGTTTGAACATTTGATGGTATCTAGTATTTCTCATATATCATTCTCATTTTGGGGGGCAGTTTTCTCAATTTTCATGGTGGAATTTTCTAGGCCAGCGATTCTATCTTTTACATCTGAGATTTGATTTTCTGTGTGATCTAGTCTGTTTTTAACACTTTCAAGGGAGGTTTTGACTTCCTGTATTATAGCCTTCATCTCTAACAGATCCATTTAATTTTTTTTTTATAGATCTTGCAAGAATTTCCTCACCTCCTGGAACTTGTAAGCTCCTTTCTCCTGCCTCTTCTGCAGTTCATCATCTCTCTTCTCTTCCATCTCTGTTAGCTTTGTCACTATGAATATTCTAAATTCCTTATCTGGACATTTCCATGAGTTTCACTGTATTGTCTGAGGATGAAGAGGAGTTATTTTTTTCCCTTGGAGGAGAGGTATTTTCTCTCTTTCCCATATTTTTTGTGACCCTGCGGTGATTTCTAGTCATCTGATGGATGGTGCATTTCTTCCTAACTCTTGAAGTTCAGTCTGAGCATTCAGAGGTGTGTAGGAAGAGGTGATCTGCAATCTCTCTTCTGTTCCGTTTTCACTCTTTGTGCATCAGATTCAGTGGCAATAGAGGAATATTCTGACCCTAATTGTACTCAGATGTTTGGATCCTGTTCACTTGGACCTGTCTAGACACTCAGAGCATGGAGGCTGAGCAGCCAAGGGGTAAAGATAAAGAAAAAAGGAAAAGAATTAGAAAAGAGGAAAGGAGAAGAAAAAGTAAAATAAAAAAGAAGAAAGAAAGAAAGATAATGAAAAAACCTTTAGATTTTAATTTTTAAAGGCAAAAAATGAAAACTACATGGCACAAAAGCAATATTTCACAGCTCAAGTTCAGTATCCATGTCAGGATGGGCCTGGGTTTGTGCCTTTACTAAATGGGATGGGGACAGGCACAAATAGCACAATAAAGGAGGGGCTTGAGAGCCCAGAGAATACTTTACCTTAAAAAAAAAATTAAAAGACACAGGGAGACACAGAGAGACAGAGAGATATGGAGAGAAAGAGACAGAGGTAGCCCTACCCACTAGAAATGACTCTGGAGGGAGAAGTCTCAGCAGAAAATTTTCATTTTTACTCAAGGGAAGCAATATTTCCCAGTTCAAGTTCAGTATCCATGTCAGCTATTTATTCTTTTTAGAGAGATTTTTGTTATGAGGAGTGTGCGCTCTCCAGAGACACAGAGAGAAAGAAAGTGAGACACTCCTCAAGGGGATGGCCACATCACAATCCCTTCTCCTCTGTTCTCCTCTCAGGATTTTGGGCATGCGTGCACACGCACCCGGCATGAGTTTTAAGTTACCAGGTCCAGGTCTTGAACCATGGTCAACTACATGGGAATCCAGTGACATAACCATTATGCCATCTGTTGGTCCCCTCCATAGTGTTATTTTAAAAAATATAGATAATGCTATAATATACACTTGTATCACAGATCTTTTAATTAAAAAAAAGAATTATTTATTTAATTTTATTTATTATCAATTTTTTTTCTTTTTTAAAAATTTGACCAGAGAGAGAGAAAGTGAGTCGCCAGGTCCAGGAGTCAAACCATGGTCAGCTGTGAACCAGCAATTAGCGTAATGGCTGTGTCGCTGGACTCCCACGTAGTTGACCGCGGTTCGCGTCCCAGACCCGGTGGCTTAAAACTCACGCTGGGCACGCTGTGCGTGAGAGAGGAGAATGGATCCCGAGAGGAGAATGGAGGAGAAGGGATTGCGGTGTGACCATCCCCTCTGGAGGGTGATTTCTCGCTTTCTGTCTCTCTGTCTCTCTCTGTCTGTCTGGCGAGCGCACGCGTCCTATAGCGAAAAAAACCTCTCTCTCAAAAAAAAAATAAACAAACCATGGTCAGCCATGTGAGAATCCAGCACTTTAACCATCACACCCCTTGCTAGTTCCATCTTTTTTCTTTTTTAAAGAGGTTTTTGCCTTAAGGTGCATGCACTTGCCAGAGAGAGAGGGAGACAGAGACAGTGAGAGGAAAAGTAAGAAATTACCCCCAGGACGCATGCACTGCAATCCCTTCTACTTCACTCTCCTCCTGGGATTTTGGGCACACACAAATGTGCCTGGCTTGAGTTTCAAGCCACTGGGTCTGGGACTCAAACTGTGGTTGACCATGTGGGAATCCAACAACAGAATCGCTATGCTATCGGCTGGCCCCTGTATCACACATCTTTATTTTTATTTTACTTTATTTTATTTATTTTTTATTTTTTGGAGAGTTTTGTTTGTTTGTTTGTTTGTTTGTTGTTTTTTGCTATAGGGCGCATGCACTCACCAAAAAGACAGAGAGAGACATAAAGCGAGAAATCACCCCCTAGGGGGGATGGCTATGCCGCTATCCCTTCTCTTCCATTCTCCTCTCGGGATCTTGGACACGCATTCACACGCACCCGGCATGAATTTAAGCCACTGGGTCCAGGACTCGAACCGCGGTGGACTACATGGGAGTCCAGTGACACAGCCATCATGCTAACTGCTGGTCCCATCACACATCTTTACACTTTGTTTTTCACCTTTGCTGTTATTGATAATAGCAGAGAAGCACAATTAGCTGCTCTTAAATGTGAGAAGCCCTGGGTTCCTGATGCTGTTTTTGTTTTCACTACTCTTAGAAAGGTATTTTCTCTAGCTCCTCGTTGACATTTTATTTTTTTCAGGGCCATCATGACTGGGTGATGGATGTTGCCATTAGCAACAACAAGAAATGGGTCCTTTCTGCCTCAAAGGTAAACATAGTCAGTCTTTGAGTGACTTAAAATGTCTGTGACATTCATCAGAATTGGTGATGGCACAAGTGTTAGTGCCGAGTATAAAGTTCCTGGGCCAGGTCAGTCTGCTGTCTAGCCCTGGCCAGGCCATCCCCATGCAGGGAGCTGCCTTGGAAAGGTGGAAAGCAAGTCCTTCCATCTGCAAATATGGGGAAGTTGCCAGGCATTTGCATCTGCACCATGGACAGTGAAGCTTTGCTGAAAAAGTCTGGCTCCACTGATGAGTGAAGGAGCCACTAGGGGGCCTTGGAGAGAAGACATAAGCTCAAAAGCAGCTGAGACTGCCCAAGATCCCAGCTGAGTCTTCCCTCCTCACATCACTGGGAAGCTAGGGATTCCCATTCCAATGGCTAACCCAGGATACACCAAGCTATCCTCCAGATATGAGACCCGAAAAGTAGTGTCCCACTCTATCCCCTAACTTTATCAGACCATGTCATTCCTCTAGGTGGGAGGTTTCCAGGTCCATGAGGCTTCATGACCAACTTTTAGAGAACCAACTCATGATATAGGTATATCAGACAAAATTCCTATAGTATGATAGATAATAAAAATCATATACCTATATGTATGCTTTAATATAAAGATACTATAAGTGAGTTAATAACCATATGTTATTCTGTAATTTTTACTTCCGACTACCACACAAATACTATTATTTAAACAAAGTAACAGCATTCATTAATAGTGGCTAAGTAGTAATTAACAGTAAAGCCAATTAAATAAACATATTTAAGAAAAATATAAAATATGAAGGGACTTCAAAACTTTATGGAAAGTGGAATTAAAATGTGAATCTTTCTGGTACAATGTTTTTTTGAAATCCATGCATATTTTTATCATGATATGCATTTCCAGGAAATTTTCAAAGACTCTCCATGTTTTGTTTTGCTTTTCTCTTCTTCTAAAGAATTCTTTCCTGTGACTTTTAAAAAAATCTTTACTGGGGGGGGTCGGCAGGTAGTGTGTCAGTTAAGGGCACTGGACTCCCACATGGCCGACTACCGCTTGAGTCCTGGACCTGATGGCTTGCTTTCTCACTTTCCCTTTCTCTCTGTTTCTCTCTGGTCAAATTAAAAAATAATAATAACAAATAAAATAAATAAATAAATAAATCGTTCTTTAAAAAAGTCTTTACTGGGGGTTGGCTCCATGGTGCAGTGCTCATGAGAAGCTAGATTTCATATGGTGGCCATGGTTTGAATCCCTGAACTGCTCTGAAACACTCTGAGCACACATGCTAGTGCCCGAGAGGGCTACTGAAAGGGAATTGCCATTGCTGTGACAGAGCCAGCAAACGGTGCTCCTCTTCTCTCTGTCTCTTACACGTGTTCATTCTTATTTATTCTATCATAAATAAATGTTTAAAATGTTTAAAAAAACTTTACTGGATATTTAAATTTATAAGACATATTATTGTATTAATATATTCTTAGGATACATAGTTTTAAGATTATTTTTAAAAGAGAACATAAATACAATAGGATTGATTAAATGCTATTACTTACATTTAATAGAAGCCAATGTCTGGGCTGGGGCCAGCAGGTGGCATGGTGGTTAAGATGCTGGATTCCCACATGGCCAACTGTGGTTCAAGTCCCAGACCTGGTGACTTGCTTTCTCATTTTTCCCTCTCTATGTCTCTGTCCCAGACCTGGTGGCTTGCTTTCTCATTTTTTCCCTCTCTATGTCTGAGTTTGGCGAGCATATGTGCCCTATAGCAAATTAAAATAATAATAATAATAAATAAAAAATAAAAAAGCAATGACTAGGCTGGCTCCATGACCTGATCGTTGGAAACCAGATTCCATATGGTTGACCATGCATGTAGTTTGAATCCCAGGCCCAGCAGCTTGGGTGGCTTGCTTTCTCATTTTTTCCCTCTCTATGTCTGAGTTTGGCGAGCATATGTGCCCTATAGCAAATTAAAATAATAATAATAATAAATAAAAAATAAAAAAGCAATGACTAGGCTGGCTCCATGACCTGATCGTTGGAAACCAGATTCCATATGGTTGACCATGCATGTAGTTTGAATCCCAGGCCCAGCAGCTTGAAAAACATATGGGGAAGGCCACCAGATGGCGTAGCGGTTACGTTACTGGACTCTCATATGGCCAACCATGATTTGAATCCTGAACTTGATGGCTTGAAAATCACACTTGGTGCATGTGCATGAGTGCCCAAGATCCCAGGAGGAGAATGGAGGACAGGGATAGTGGTGTGGTCATTCTCCCCCACCCTCGAGGGGTGATTTCTCACTTTTCTTCTCACTGTCTCTGTCTCTCTTGCGGTCCAGCGAGCATACGTGCCCTAAGGCAAAAACCTCTTAAAAAACACACACACAGAGTGCATATATGCATGCCCCAAATCCCAACAGGGTGGATAAATGGAGAAGGGATCGCAGTGTGACCATGCCCCATAGGTAAATGCATGCTCTCTCTTTGTCTCTCTCTCTCCGGTGAATGCATGTACCCACTGGCAAGTTGAAAACAAAATAAAAAGCAATAACCACATTCTATGAAGCCAGTATTACTCTGCTACCAAAGCCTGATGGAGACATCATAAGATAAGAAAATTACAGACCAATACCCCTTATGAATATAGATGAAAATATTCTCAACAAAATACTAACAAATAGAACCCAACAGCACAATTAAAAGGATTATTTACCATGATCAAGTGGGATTTCTCGTTGGAATACAAGAGTTTAACACAAAATCAGTCAATGTAATGTATCACCTTAATAGAAAAAAGAAAAAAAAAAACCCATGTGATCATCTCAATTGACACCAAAAAAAAACCCTAAAAAATGCAAAGTCCTTTCATAAGTAAAAAGAAAAGACAACTTCAGAAATCTAGGAATACAAGGAAAATTCCTCAACATGATCAAGGATATTTTTAAAAAAACTCATTGTTAATATCATTCTCAATGGTAAAAGACCAAAAGCTTTCTTCCTAAGATAAGGATCAGGGCAAAGATGTCTGCTTTTACTGCTGCTAGTAAATATTTTATTGAAGTTCTAGCCAGAGCTCTTATACCACAAAAAGAAATAAAAGGCATCCTAGATATGAATAAGTAAAACTTGCCTCTCTCAGATGACATATATATATATATATACACACACACGCATATATATACACACACACACATACCTATACACACACACACACACAATCTCAAAGAATCCACAAAGAAGCTACTAAAACTAGTCAATGAATTCAACAAAGTTTTAGGGTACAAAATAAACACATAAAAATCAGTTGCATCTCTTTGTTTGTTTTTGTTTTTGCTATAGGGCATATGTACTTGCCAGAGGGAGACAGAGAAAGAGAGGGAGAGTGAAAAATCACCCCCATGGGGGATGGCTATGCCACAATCCCATCTCTTCAGTTCTCTTTTTGGGATTTTGGGCACACACATAATGTATCTGGTATGTTTTTCAAGTCACTGGAGTCTGGGACTCAAACCATGTGGTCAGTCATGTTGGATCCAGCTGCCTTAACCACCACACTACCTGTCTGGCCTCCGTTGTGTTTTTGTACACCAGTAATGAACACTCTGTAAAGGAAAAGCAATTCCATTTACAATGGCATCTAAAATAATTCTTAGAAATAAATCTAACCAGGGTGGTAGAAGACTTGTACACTAAGAACTATAAAACATTACTGAAGGGTCAGCAGGTGGTGTGATGGTTAAGGTGTGGAGTCCCACATGTGGTGTGATGGTTAAGGTGCTGGAGTCCCACAATGCTAACCATGGTTCAAGTCCCAAATCTGGTGGCTCAACATGCTGGGCATGTGTGCATACATGCCCCAAATCCCAGAAGGAACATGGAAGAAAAAGACATTGGGGCATGGCCATCCCCCCGGGGGCGATTTTCCAGTTTTGTTCTCTCTCTGTCTCTCTTCAGCGAGAACATACACCCTATGGCAGAAACCTAAACAATAAATAAATAAATACTGAAAGAAATTAAAGAAGACCTAAGTTAGTGGGGAGACATCCTGTGTTCATGGATAGGAAGACCTAATACTGTGAAGATGTCAATACTATCCAAAGTGGTTTACAGATTCAACACAACCCCTATCAAAATTCCAAGTCTGTTTTACAGAAATGGCAAAGCCTATCCTCAAGTTTATATGGAATTGCAAGAGACTCTGCCTGATCAAATAATATTAAAGAAGAAGATGATGACAGTGAAGAGAGAAAAGAAGAGAAGGAGTCCAGCAACGTAACCGCTGGCACCATCTGTTGGCCCCTCAAGCAATTGTCTTATTTGAGTTCAAAATGTGTAGTAAAATAACAGAGACAACTCACAACACTAACAATGTACTGGCCCAGGAACTGCTAACAAACACGGGACAGTGGTGGTTCAAGAAATTTTGCAAAGGAAATGAGAACCTTGAAGATGAGGAGTATAGTGACTGGCCATCAAAAGTTGACAATGGGACCAGCAGTTGGCGTAATGGCTATGTTGTTGGACTCCCATGTGATTGACTGTGGTTTGAGTCCTGGACCAGGTGGTTTAAAACTCACGCCGGGCACGTGTGTGTGCGTGCCCAAGATCCTGAGAGGAGAATGGAGAAGAAGGGATTGTGGCATGGCCATCCTCCCTGGGATGTGATTTCTTGTTTTCTGTCTCTCTGTCTCTCTCTGTTTGTCTGGCGAATGCACGCGACCTATAGCAAAAACCTCTCAAAAAAAAAAAAAAAAAGAAGTTGACAATGACCAATTGAGAGCAATCATTGAAGCTGATTTTCTACAACTACAGGAGAAGTTGCCAAAGAACTCAACGTCGGCCATTCTTCGGTCTTTCAGCAATTTGAAGCAAATTGGAAAGATGAAAAAGCTTGGTAAGTAGGTGTCTTCCAAGCTAACGGAAAATTTTGAAAATTGCCATTCCGAAACATTGTCTTTTCTTACCTTACCCGACAACAAACCATTTCTCAATTAGATT